TACAATTTCAAAATCCAGAAAAAGTATTTTGTGCGTAATAATAATCCTCACTTTAAATTAATTAATGACTGAAATAGGCATTATTATGAGGAAATATATTTGATTCTACTTGGTAATAGTTGCACATTTCAGACATGCCTTGTGGCATTCATATGAACACATGAATGTTCGACAGATGGTAATAAAAATAGGTCTTCTTGCCAGACAAATCATGCATTGAAAGCAGTGCACTAGTTTCATCTGGAGTTCAACAAGCCAATTAGTGTTTGTGTTGGCTAAACAGCAATATTGACTAGAAGCTGCACACGGTGATAACTGTTACAACGTAACAAGGCTTACGTCAGGACTTGAAAATGACGTTATGAAATTGAGTCACACGACATGAACACAATACGTCTAAGAGGTTTATTTGAATGGTGTTAAAAGGTATGAGAAAGTGGGGACTCCTTGCAAACTGTATTTAACATATTTTTTTAATCTATACTGAGACGAAATTTTTCTCTATTTATCTATGAATCAAAACCGTTCTCTGGTTCTTTGGTTTGGAATGTACATGTATTCTTCAAGTGTCGAAAATGGAATAGGCGACAAGTGTCACATACTATGTTGAGCAGCCACCACTCGTTGTATTCTAAACAAGCTGGTTTTAAGCGGCGTTAAATCACAACTACCCTCACTCACTCAATCATAAACTCACTCATAAAGACACACATAAACTAGCCCACTTATTAATTAAACAACTCACTCACATTGTTTATTCGTGACAAACCGAGGCCCATAGTTAAAAATATACGGTAAACTACTGTTATAACGAACACTAGGGAACCATTAACTTGAGTTCGTTATAACCGAAGTTCGTTATCAGCATATATACAACATATATACAGCAAATGGACAGGACCCCCAAACAACGGTTCGTTTTATCCGTCAGTTCGTTATAAGCGCGTTCGTTATAAACGTAGTGTAATGTATATATTAACAAAGTAAATCATCTTCGAACTAACAAATCAATGCATGATGTACAATGCAATGTTTTGTAATAATGTAATATGTGAGACTATCATGAGTGAGTGAGAGAGTGAGTTTGGTTTAACGCCGCTCTTAACAGTATTCCAGTTATATCGCGGCGTGTCAGCTTAATGTGGAAGGAAAGCCCGAAGTGATGCAGGCCTCAGACGTTTACCACTTCGGTGAAACCCACGAGCAGGGGTATGGTGCTGACAAACCCAGAAACATAATCGGGGCGAACCGGGATTCGAACCCACAATCATAGGTTTCTGGCGTGTCCACGGGACGCAACTCTGCACAGCGAATTGCGGCGCCTTAGACGACTGGGCCACCCGTCCCCCTGAGACTATCATGAGTATGCAAAAGAAATTCATATTTGGATAAGATGTAAACGTCTTTGGAATATTCTTCTTTCTTAATTGAAGATAGAGTTTACACACAAGCATAAAAGGATGCCCATTTTTCTTTAAAACATATACAAGATGTACAAATATTGACTTCTTCAAAATGCCCTAACAGATCTTTGAATCATAATAACCTGCTCTCAATTGAGCTTGCGAGACTCAAATCATAGTTTAGTGCAACAGATACTAGAAAAGAGAATACGAACATGTACATTTGCTACTTCTTAGTTGTTCTTTCAACATTCGCTAAAAACACAGTCATAAACTCACTCATACACACAGTCATAAACTCAATCATAAAGTCACTCATACACACAATCATAAACTCAATCATAAACTCACTCATACACACAGTCATAAACTCAATCATAAACTCACTCATACACACAATCATAAACTCAATCATAAAGTCACTCATACACACAATCATAAACTCTACCATAAACTCACTCCTGCACACAATCATAATCTAACTCGCTAATAAACTCATGAAGATGATAAATGGTATTTCTTGAAAAATACCCTTCTTCCATTTCGCTAAACCTACAAGATGTCCCGAATATTATTTGGTCAGTTCAACTTTTTATGGACATAGTTGACCAATACGTCTGGTTCTGGTCATTTGGTCGATGTCTTTTGGTAAGTTTGCCTTTATGACTTATGGGTATTTTGTTCTGGGTATTTACCATGCCATCACATCAAAGTTCTCATCAACCCCTCGTGACATGCTAGTGTAATATCGCCCCCAGTGATGTACTAGTGCCATTTACTTTGTGTATATCGTGTTATATCACCCGCTGTGACAAAATGGTGTTTTTCGCCCCAAGTGACTAAATGGTGATATTAAGCCCTAACTGATATACATGTTTCATATCGCCCCCCGTGACATATTGGTTTTAAATCGCCCTTATTGACATACTAGTGTTGTATTGCTCACGTTGCCCACAAGCGGTGTATCCCCTAGTGACATGCTAGTGTTAATTCGCCCCATTGACTACTGGTGTTATATCGCTTCCCAGGCACATCAGTGTTACATAACTCCTCATGACATACAGTGTTACATAATTCCCCAGGACATACCGGTGTTACATAACTCCTCATGACATACAGTGTTACATAACTCTCCAGGACATACCGGTGTTACATAACTCCTCATGACATACAGTGTTACATAACTCTCCAGCACATACCGGTGTTACATAACTCCTCATGACATACAGTGTTACATAACTCTCCAGCACATACCGGTGTTACATAACTCCTCATGACATACAGTGTTACATAACTCTCCAGCACATACCGGTGTTACATAACTCCTCATGACATACAGTGTTACATAACTCTCCAGGACATACCGGTGTTACATAACTCCTCATGACATACAGTGTTACATAACTCTCCAGCACATACCGGTGTTACATAACTCCTCATGACATACAGTGTTACATAACTCTCCAGCACATACCGGTGTTACATAACTCCTCATGACATACAGTGTTACATAACTATCCAGTACATACCAGTTCTACATAACTCTCCAGAACATACCAGTTTTACATATCTCTCCAGCACATATTAGTGTTACATAACTCTCCACGACATACCAGTCTTACATAACTCTCCAGCACATACCAGTGTTACATAACTCTCCACGACATACCAGTCTTACATAACTGTCCAGGTTATACCAATATTACATCGATTTCAATGACGCATCACGGTGTTTCGCGGTTCCCAATTTCTGGACCGGTGTTGCCATCAACTCAAAGGACATAAGACGCTGCTTCATGTTTCTTAGTGATGGTTTTATTTCAGTTATTTATACCAGCGTTACATAGCTACCCATGGCATACCAGTGTTACATTCTTCTCAAGGACATACCAGTGTTACATACTTCTCAAGGACATACCATCGTTACACAACTCTCCAGGACATACCGGTGTTACATACTTCTCAAGGACATACCAGTGTTACATTCTTCTCAAGGACATACCAGTGTTACATACTTCTCAAGGACATACCATCGTTACACAACTCTCCAGGACATACCGGTGTTACATACTTCTCAAGGAGATACCAGTGTCACATAACTACCAAGGACATACCAGTGTTACATAACTCTACATGACATACCAGTGTTACATACCTCTCCAGGACATACCAGTGTTACATAACTCTACAGGACATAACAGTGTTACATTACTCTACAGGACATACCAGTGTTACATACCTCTCCAAGACATACCAGTGTCACATAACTACCAAGAACATACCAGTGTTACATAACTCTACAGGACATACCAGTGATACATACCTCTCCAAGACATACCAGTGTCACATAACTGTCAAGGACATACCAGTGTTACATAACTCTACAGGACATACCAGTGTCACGTAACTACCATGGACATACCAGTGTTACATAACTATCAACAACATACCAATGTTACATAACTCTACAGGACATACCAGTGTTACATAACTCTCCACGACATACCAGTATTACACAACTTTCCACGACATACCAGTGTTACATAACTCTCCACGACATACCAGTTCTACATAACTCTCCACGACATACCAGTGTTACACAACTCTCCACGATATACCACCGTGACATAACTCTCCAGCACATATCAGTGTTACACAACTCTCCGAGACATGCCAGTATTACACAACTCTCCACGACATACCAGTATTACACTTCTCCACGACATACCAGTGTTACACAACTCTCCACGACATACCAGTATTACACTTCTCCACGACATACCAGTGTTACACAACTCTCCATGACATATCAGTATTACATAACTCTCCACGACATACCAGTATTACACAACTTTCCAGGACATACCAGTATTACATAACTCTCCGCGACATACCAGTATTACACAACTCTCCAGCACATACCAGTGTTACATAACTCTCCGCGACATACCGGTATTACACAACTCTCCAGCACATATCAGTATTACATAACTCTCCACGACATACCAGTATAACATAACTCTCCAGCACATACCAGTGTTACATAACTCTCCACGACATATCAGTATTACACAACTCTCCACGACATACCAGTATTACATAACTCTCCACGACATACCAGTATTACACAACTTTCCACGACATACCAGTGTTACATAACTCTCCGAGACATGCCAGTATTACACAACTCTCCACATCATACCAGTGTTACACAACTCTCCAGCACATATCAGTGTTACATCACTCTCCACCACATACCAGTGTTACATAACTCTCCAGCACATACCAGTGTTACATAACTCTCCACAAAATACCAGTATTACATAACTCTCCACGACATACCAGTGTTACATAAATCTCCAGGTTATACCAATATTACATCGATTTCAATGACGCATCACGGTGTTTCGCGGTTCCCAATGCTGGACCGGTGTTGCCATCAACTCCAAGGACATAAGACGCTGCTTCATGTTTCTTAGTGATGGTTTTATTTCAGTGGAGAAAGGTTTGAGTTGTGTAATGGACTGCCACTTGGCATTCACCGCGTGCCTTAATTGTGAAGGTACACCAAGGCAGCCGCAGTGAACACAAACAGGTGCCCTTTATTGTTTCTTTGTTCCGTGTGGAACTCTCCGCTTCAGCCTATCCTATCCTCGGTTACTCAGCTATGTTTCTCGCGGATTTATATGATCCGTGAAATGATCCATACGAGCCTTCTTCAGTGATGCCTTTAAAGAAAATAAAGGAAAAATAATATTAGTAGACACATGATAAAAATACATTTCGGGTCACCCAGCGTTAGCGCCATTGTCCTCAACTGGAGCTAGCAGACTCATTGCTCGTTCCAGCAGAATTTCTGCATTACTTTAGAAACAATGAAACACGATAGTGATAATCTGATATTTAACCTTAGCTCGGTAGTTTTTCAAGGATTATCCATGAAAGATGGATGGCGGCGTCATGGTGTTGTGGAGTGGGTAGGGTGGATTGTGGGTCAGGGTGGGCGTTGTGGACAGGGTGGATTGTGGGGTCAGGGTGGGCGATGTGGACAGGGTGGATTGTAGGGTCAGGGTGGTCATTGTGAGCAGGGTGGGTTGTAGGGTCAGGGTGGGCGTTGTGGACAGCGTCGATTGTGTGTCAGGGTGGGCGTTGTGGACAGGGTGGATTGTGGGGTCAGGGTGGGCGTTGTTGACAGGGTGGATTTTGGATCAGGATGGGAGCTATGGACAAGACATGGGGGTCAGGTCAGGTGATTGGCCTGGGTGGATGGTGGGTTTAGGGTTGGTGATAGTTGACAGGGTGGATTTGGGATCAGGATGGGAGTTATGGACAAGACATGGGGGTCAGGTCAGGTGATTGGCCTGGGTTGATGGTGGGTTTAGGGTTGGTGATAGTTGACAGGATGAATGATGGAGATTTATGATCGTGTACAGTTGTTTTGGTGGAACACTGGGCGATCGGGTGGTTGACTGGGTCGGTATTTCTGATAACGGACACCTTCCAAACATGAAAAGCTACTGTCTGGTTCAGCAGTACTGATGTTCTGTTCACTCTGGATTATAAGATAATGTCTGTGCGGGCGACATCACTCGGCCCTCGATCAGGCAGTTCCGACATCACTCAGCACTAAGCCAATCATCGCCACAGTTTCCTCAGCACTCTGTGGGCGGGCGCGACACACAAGAGTTTTCTATTCTCGTATCTTGGCTATTTTTACACTGCTAAAGTCTTACTTCAATTTCTTCGCTGCTTAAGTGGCATAGTGCTACACTGCCTTCAAGCCTCGGATTATGGCGATATGCAAAGTCTTCATCAATTTCGTCGGGTTAAGGGCAGAATCAATTGAAGCAAAATGTTTTCTTCGCCGAACTGCCGCCACTGACATTTAGTGAATCACCAAAATGCACGGATCCGCCAGCGTTAGTTCTTGGAGCAAAGCTGGTTAATTTCTTTCGCACAAAAATCGATATTAGCTGGTATTTATTAACAGTTTCATTATAACAGTATTATCTTTTACAGCCTTCAGCAAGCATAAGAGCACTGGAGCCAGTGCGTGACGGACAGTGTGGAGCTTTTCTGGAGGACGTGGAGCCACTATGTGACATACGGATTTTGGACGGGGATAACCTGTTTGATGTACAGAGCGTGAAAGTGGAGCTCCTGTGCGGCGTACAGAGTTGGGAGCCACTGTGTGATTTACAGCATGTGGACGTGGAGCCACTGTGTGAATTACAGAGTGTGGACATGGATCAACTGTGTGACGTACAGGGTGTGGACGTGGATCCACTGTTTGACGTACAGGGTGTGGACGTGGAGCTCCTGTGTGACGTACAGGGTGTGGACGTGGAGCCACTGTTTGACGTACAGGGTGTGGACGTGGAGCTCCTGTGTGACGTACAGGGTGTGGACGTGGAGCCACTGTGTGACGTACAGGGTGTGGACCTGGAGTTCCTGTGCGACGTACAGGGTGTGGACGTGGAGCCACTGTGTGACGTACAGGGTGTGGACGTGGAGCCACTGTGTGACTAATTTAGTGTTGACGTGGAGCTCCTGTGTGACGTACAGGGTGTGGACGAGGAGCTCGTGCGTGATATACAGGGTGCTGATTCCCGGAAAAACCTGAAGCCTCTGTGTGGAGCCACTGTGTGAGGTACAATATGGAGCCCCCGGAGGACGTGAAACCACTATGTGACGTACGGAGTTTGGAGCCACTGTGAGACATACAGTGTGGAGTCCTTGGAGGATATGGAGCCATTGCATGACATGGAATCACAACGGAATACAGGGTGTCCTTATCAAGACGTCTATCTTCTGCGGTATTAGCAGTATATGGAGCCACTGCGTCACTAACAGTATATGGAGCCACTGTGTCACTAACAGTATATGGAGCCACTGTGTCATTAACAGTATATGGAGCCACTGCGTCATTAACAATATATGGAGCCACTGCGTTACTAACAGTATATGTAGCCACTGCGTCGTTAACAGTATACGGAGCTACTGCGTCATTAACAGTATATGGAGCCACTGCGTCATACTGAGAGTCATTATCAGAAGGTGAAGCCACAGAGTCATACAGTGAGTTGAGTACTGTTTTACGCCGCTTTTAGCAATACTCCAGCAATATCACGGCGGGGGACGCCATAATGGGCTTCACACATTGTACCACGTAGGGAATTGAACCCGGGTCTTCGACTTGGCGAGCGAACGCTTTAACCACTGGGCTCCCCAACGCCCTCCAGCGTCATACAGAGAATCATAAGCAGCACGTGGAGGCACCGCGTAACACGGACAGTCGTATTCGGGATAAGGAGCTACAGCGTTATAAAGAGAGCCATTATCCCGTCTTGAGCCATTGGCATATAAATCACCACTAGCACAATGGCTGTGTAATGGCTGTGTAAAACCCCAACTGACCAATCAGAAAGCGAGAAATGATGATTCTCCGGATTGCCAAAATATGTTAACCCAACAGAGAAATATTTAGCAAGTGCAGATTTCGGGGAAGCACAGATATCCGGAGATTAAACTATTCACACCACATGCAGACAATGGGTTAAGGCTTCTAACAGTTGTGCTGAATGGGTAATATATTCGGATAACAAAAGGCCATACACCGCCACAGAGTGTTTTAATTAAGGCCATAACCAAGTATGTACACACTGTTGTATTTGTTCTCTGAATGACAGTAGCAACCTGCACTTTAACACTCTTTCTACTTGACCCTCGAAGCCCGATGTCACAAACACCAAGCTTATGTTCCTATTTTGAGCTACTTGAAGTTAATACTCTAACGCTGTTTCAACAGGAATATGATATGAGATCTGTCAAACGTTGTGACGAGTTTAGGTAGGTTCTAAGTTGATCTGACAATCAATGTGAGATCCCGTGCTGCAGTGCTAAAGCACAGCGGCGTGGAAACCCATGTCAGATGACGTTATTTTATTCCACGACCAGGGATTCCGAGAAAGCAATATTATCAATTTGACCCTTTATCATCTGTCACAAGACAACATGCCTGGAGACAGGGTGGAATTAGAGAATATTAACACTCTCCATCCAATGTAATGACATAACTTCGGACACCCCCCAGTTGACAAGTACTGAGCGATGCAGAAATGCGGTACAATGACTGTAGAGACGCTGACAATCATTGAGTGATACATAACTACGGTACAATGACTGAAGAGACGCTGACAATCATTGAGTGATACATAACTACGGTACAATGACTGAAGAGACGCTGACAATCATTGAGTGATACAAAACTACAGCACAATCATTGAAGAGACACGCTAACAATCATTGAGTGATACAGAACTACAGTACAATCATTGAAGAGAAGCTAAAAATCATTGAGTGATACAAAACTACAGCACAGTCATTGAAGAGACACGCTAACAATCATTGAGTGATACAGAACTACAGTACAATCATTGAAGAGACGCTAACAATCATTGAGTGATACAAAACTACAGCACAATCATTGAAGAGACGCTAACAATCATTGAGTGATGCAGAACTACGTTACAATCATTGAAGAGACACGCTGACAATCATTGAGTGATACAGAACTACGGTACAATGATTGAAGAGACGCCGACAATCATTGAGTGATACAGAACTACGGTACAATGATTGAAGAGATGTTGACAATCATTGAGTGATACAAAACTACGGCACAATGATTGAAGAGACGCTGACAAGCACGGAATGATAGAAAACTGCTGTAAAATGACTGAAGAGAACGTGCAGCGGAAAATTCTACTGACAATGGGTCAAGACACAACCAAGCACAGTTTACAGTTCACAATTGCTCCGACTAAGATTAGCATGCGTCGCGTGCCTCCTGACTCGCAGCGTGCGCACTCCGAGGACTAGTTTCCTTACCCCCCGTGCAGGTGTGCCATTAACCAGAATAGAGGTGCGCCAGCACGAATTGTATCAATCAATCACCTGTTCCAGCCGAGTCTATCAGGCCACAATCAATAATGTGTCGCTAAGGATGGCATGTCAATTTTGTATTAATCAAAGGTAATTTACTAACCATGAGCATGGCTTCATGCTGAAGGTAAGAAGACTAGCCGTACAACCATATATGGTTGGAATAGTAAAGGTGGTTCATGCCGAACGGTAAGCAGACTAGCCGTACAAATGTTTATAAGGAATAGTAAACGAGGTTCATACTGAAGGGAAAACAGACTAGCTGTACAAATATGTATGTGGAATAGTAAAAGAGCCTTGCTGATGGGAAAACAGACTAGCCGTACAAATATATATGTGGAATAGTGAAGGAGGTTCTTGCTGAATTGTAAACAGACTAGCCATACAAATATACATGTGGAATAGTGAAGGAGGTTCTTGCTGAATTGTAAACAGACTAGCCATACAAATGTATATGTGGAATAGTAAAGGAGGTTCTTGCTGAATTGTAAACAGACTAGCCATACAAATATATATGTGGAATAGTGAAGGAGGTTCTTGCTGAATTGTAAACAGACTAGCCATACAAATATATATGTGGAATAGTAAAGGAGGTTCTTGCTGAATTGTAAACAGACTAGCCATACAAATATATATGTGGAATAGTGAAGGAGGTTCTTGGTGAATTGTAAACAGACTAGCCATACAAATATATATGTGGAATAGTGAAGGAGGTTCTTGGTGAATTGTAAACAGACTAGCCATACAAATATATATGTGGAATAGTGAAGGAGGTTCTTGCTGA